GTGTGGCCAGCAGGAGTAGGGAAGTGATCATGCCCCTGTACTCGGTGCTGGTGAGGCCGCACTTCGAATACTGTGTTCAGTTTTGGGCCCCTCACTACAAGAAAGATCTTGTGTTGCTGGAACATGTCCAGAGGAGAGCAACCAAGCTGGGGAGGGGTCTGGAGCACAAGTCTGATGAGGAGCAGCTGAGGGAACTGGGGTTGTTTAGCTTGGAGAAGAGGAGGCTGAGGGGAGACCTGATCGCCCTCTCCAACTACCTGAAAGGAGGTTGTAGCCAGGTGGGTGTTGGTCTCTTCTGCCAAGTAACAAGTGATAGGATGAGAGGAAATGGCCTCAAGTTGTGCCAGGGCAGGTTTAGATTACATATCAGGAAAAATTTCTGAAAGGGTTATCAGGCACTGGAATGGGCTGCCCAGGGAAGTGGTTGAGTCCCCATCCCTGGAGGTATTTAAAAGAAGGATAGATGAGGTGCTTAGGGATGTGGTTTAGTAGTGGACAGGTATGGTTGGACTTGATGATCTTAAAGGTCTTTTCCAACCAAATGATTCTGATTCTATGCTGATGCCTCTTATTTTGACGTTAGTATAGCTTTCCATTTATCATCTACTTGTTAAAGAAAGAAGGCGTGGGGTGAAGTTAGTACCAGAACTTTTTGAGTTCTTTTTGCTAGGATCATGTGAGGAGCTGTTGAGAGTTGTGACCAATTCCTAAATTCTTAGCAAGGTTAGAGCGTTTGCAAGACTTGGTTGGGTTTGTGTTTTGTTTTTTCCCCAGTACTCTTGTAGGTCACTCCCTGTTGGGTTTTTTTGTTAATGCCTCATAGTACTGAAGGGAACTGTCAAATATTGTCCAGATTTAAACAAGAAAGCTGGCATCAATCTCCAAGGCCATTGTTTATTTTTATACAGATTCTTGTACTTCCCTTATCATTGTATTATGAATCATTGATTGACCATTTGTGGGCATGCAACTGAAAAATTTTATTAGAGGAAAGCTTTCTTTTTACTCAACAAGGTAGTCTTGAATGTTTGTATGATGTGTGGTAAAAATGAGTAAAATACATTTTGGCAAAGATACATGAATCTGCTTTCAGCAAGTGATATTTTCTTTTTTTGCTATCTTGACTAGTCGGGAGGAGGGAGGACTTGTAACTGAAAAGTTTCTGTAAGTATGTTGGTTACTGAAAATGCCTGTCTAGTTGGGAGGTTTTGGTGGTGTTTTCAAAGTCAGGTTTTTCAGAGAGATGGTACTGTTAGAACCTAACTATAACAAGATATGATTATTATGTGTTTTATTTATGTGTCCTTATAACAAAAGTGCTTTAAAATGTACAAGAGTTTACTTCAGCTGGCTGAATTCTCAAGAAGTTAAACTGTTCTTGTTTCTGTGAGTAGGAAGCCAAAGTCAAAATATATAGTGTAGCCCTAGAATACTGCCTTGTTAGTTTTTCAGGGGAAGACATAAGCACAGTAGAACTATTTACCAGCGTCAGTGACCATGTGCTAACTTCCCTTGTGCCTTGGCATCAGCAGACATAATGCAGGTGTTACTGAAAGCACAGTGTAACAGTGCTGAAATTCGGCTTTCACTAGAAGTGATCAGAAGTGATCTGGTGAAATGGTCATTCATGTGCGTGTTGTGTATGTGACCCATATCCCTGCTTTTGAAAACTTTCAACATGAGCAGTAAAATTACACAGGACTGTCAGAAAGTGCCTTTGTTATGTGGTCCAAAGACTATAATCTTTTCAGCTTTCTAGGAGGTGTCCTCCTGTGGTGGTGGTTAGGATAGAGTGCTCAAGGATACATCAGTCTCCAGAATGAAACAAGGCAGGTCTTGGTTTGTGTTCAGTGTGTTATGCCACAGTTGAGCTGGAGCTCCCAGCAATGGTGAGAATAAGCTCTGTGCGCAAATACTAGTTTTCTTTCTCTCGAGTCTCTCCAAACAAAGCATTAGCAAAACTGTTGTGGGAGCTCAGTTAGAGCTTGTGTCAAGGCTGTGATATTGCTGAAGCATGCAGGTGCCATGCTGTACTTCAGGTAAGCGTACTGTTTGCTGAAGAAGCAGTGTTAAAATTGATACAGTTATTGATACAGTTGTTGACTGTAGTAACTATGGTCCTTCGTGATGGTTTTGTCCATGTGTCTTGTCTTATTTCTTTCTTTTTAGTCGAGAGTTTGCTTTACCCCAAGTTTCTGAAAGTGAGAAGCAACTAGGAAGCAAGAGATATGCATAGCCTTTCAGGTCTTCAGAGGAGAGTGCGGGGCAGCAAAGTGATTGTATGCTGTATGCATATTTCTGAAATAAGTATGCCTAGGGTTCAGATGTGCAGTGTACATCTGGATGTGACATTTCAATCTCCATGTGGAAAAAAAACCTTGTCATGACTGAACAGAATCTAGGTTTGCATCTACATACTAGAGGAAAGGATTACTCATAGTGCAGGTGTATTGTTTTCATAAGTTTCAAACATGAAAACAATATGAAGTGTTAATTTCATTTACAGTGTTAATTTTTGAAACATATTTGCATTTTACAGGGAAGCTAAATCTTTGTTGTAGATAAAGATTCACAGAATAATATTCTAGGATCTGGTAATTTTTGCAAATGTGAATTACTAGTATTTAAAAAAAAACCCTAAAATTGTTTATTCTAAGTGTCTTCATCAGGAACACATGTAGCTCACAGTCTAATTTTGTAAGTTTTAATGTTTCTAAGAGAAACAGGAAGAGATTGGTACCATTCTTTGATGTTAAGGTCTGGCCCTAAGGAATAGTTGTCTTTCCTCAATCTAGTGGTATTTTTTTCCTGTTTGAAATTAAAATTTGTTTTGTTTATGTGGTTGTATTGTATTGTTACTGTTGTTATTACCTTTCCTGTCAACAAAATTGGAATTTAATTGTGTTGAAACACTATTGTGTTCAAGGAACACCTTTGAAATCCATTGAAGTCAGGTTGAAAGTCTGATTTTAGCAGTCTCTATCAGGAGGAGGTAAGACCTGTAACTGACTTTTAATTGATAATTTGCCCAGTAGAAAGATTCTGAACAGTGATGTTTGAACAGGAATTTTGCTTTTGGGAGTGTAAAAACAAAAAAGAAGAGAGAACCAAAATATCATCAGTGTGTTTGCTTTTTTTCTGCAGAAGAGTAGCAGCTCTGAATCCTTGAGTGACAAAGGTTCAGCTGAACTGAAGAAGAGCTTTGATGCGGTGGTATTTGATGTTTTAAAGGTTACACCAGAAGAATATGCAGTAAGTGATTCAAATAATTTTTGTTATTTTGTGTGAATCTTATCAGCAGCTTTTCATCTGCTTTTCCACTTCTAGATGTTGTTTGCCTAATTTCTGTCGTACATGGGTTTCAAAAATGGATCCTGCACTGTAGTTCTTCATTGTCTATGTTCTGTTTATTGTTAAGTGATCTTTTTGGGCTAAGCTGTCCAGGCATTTTTCACACTCTTAATATGTAACGTAGACCAGAGATTCTTAAATGTATATGATGCAGCTTAATTCTGATGTGCATATTTTAGTTGCAATAATCTACTTGATCTGTACTTGTTTTTTCTGGAAGTGTTTTAATTTTTAACTCTGTTAATTTTTACATCTAGAGAGCATTTGCTTTGCAGGTGCAATGATACTGAATAATGAGTTGGGTATCCTGCAGAACCAAGAACAAATGAGTAAAAATATTTAACCAAAACATTAGGTGACTTTCTTTTTTCTACCCAACTTGTAGTGGTTAAGATGACAGATGGTCCCTCTAAAGTGATTCAAGTATACTACTAGAAAGATTGCTAACAAGCTATTGCTCTTAACTGCATTTATAGTTCAAGTGACGAGATTTGTGATGAGTTGTCCTAGGGAGATTATTGATAAGGGGTAGTACGTATCACAAAATATTCACATTAAGTTTGTTCTATTTTTAAATTGTTAATAACTATTTCAGTTAATTATTAATGGCTAAATTGATTTTAATGAGCACACTGAAAATTCAAAGCATCTGTTTTATGAAGTGTTACTAACACATTAAATTCTTCTTGGGTAGTTAATGGGGTGTATTCCTGCCTGAAGTTTAAGTCATCTGGTTTGGGCTTCTTCCTTGCTCCGTTGTCAGGAACAGCTGGGCAATGAATCACCTACTTTTCATGGGAAGATGGTTTTGGGGCTGGCTATCCTTCAGTTTTATCTTACAATTTTTCTACATAAATGAAATCTAAGTACTTAGGGAATTTGGGGCTAGGGGCATGAATTCAAGTGGAATTATGCATTCAGGCCAGAATAGCTACAGGTTCCTTCCAATGGCTAAAGCCAGTGGCGGATGCTGTTGATCAGCAGATTAGATCACTTTGTCTCTGGAGTTGCTGTCACTCACTTGGACAGCAAAATATAAAAAGGTGCTTTGTCTTGTATCACATTTCAAAATGCTTTTGCTCTACTATCTTCCTCTGTCTAATCCTTCATCTCTCATGTGCAGAAACCTTTTACCTTTATGGGTCTTCTAAATGTTACCTGCTTAGTAAATCTTGGTTAGATAAAAATTATTAAAATCCAGTGTTTTTACTGTTTTCATATTATAGAATCATAGAATTGTTTAGGTTGGAAAAGACCCTTAAGATCAAGTCCAACCCTTAACCTAGCACTGCCAAGCCAACCACTCAGCCATGTCCCTAAGCACCACATCTACCCATCTTCTAAATACCTCCAGGGATGGGGACTCAACCACTTCCCTGGGCAGCCCGTTCTAATGCTTGACAACGCTTTCCGTGACAAAATTTTTCCTAAAAGCCAGTCAAAGCCTCCCCGAGCACAACTTGAGGCCATTTCCTCTTGTCCTATCGCTTGTTACTTGGCAGAAGAGACCAACACCCACCTGGCTACAACCTCTTTTCAGGTAGTTGTAGAGGGCAATAAGGTCTCCCCTCAGCCTCCTCCAGGCTAAACAACGCTGGTTCCCTCAGACGCTCCTTGCCAGACTTGTGCTTCAGACCCCTCACCAGCTTCATTGCCCTTCTCTGGACATGCTCTAGCACCTCAATGTCTTTCTTGTAGTGAGGGGCCCAAAACTGAACACAGTATTCGTGGTGCAGTCTCACCAGTGCTGAGTACAGGGGCACGATCACTTCCCTCGTCCTGCTGACCACGCAATTTCTGCTACAAGCCAGGATGCCATTGGCCTTCTTGGCCACCTGGGCACACTGCCAGTTGATATTAAAAAAAAAATGCTTTTTTAAAAAAAAATAATTTTTTCAAAGTGGTAAACTAAAGAAATAATTTGTGGGCTCTAAGTACCTTATTCATGGAGAGAAAAGATAATGTGATAAAGCCAGTAAAATGGCAATAAAAGCAAGTTGCTGCCCAAGAGCTAGTTAGACAGCTGTCTAATTAATGGTTAGGAAACTTTGGTGTGAATGAAAAAATTCCAGTGCATGGGTAGCATAAAGATGAGAGTTAACTGATAAAGTCAACATCAGCATTGGGAAGTCTCATCCTGTACCTTATATAATATGTTGCATTTAGATCAGAACGGGTCATTGTGTACAGATGGGACAATTACAGTTGTGCTGGAGAAAGAGGAGTAAAAATCTGAAAGATAATTAAGTTTGAAATATACTGGAAATAAGATTCATGCTAGTGGTTTCAGCACCAATATGAGACACACAGATGTCTTTTCAGTTCCCACCATGTTAAGAGACATCACTGTTATTTCAAAACTTGATCTGTTTAGTCAGTTAGTGGGTAGGAGACAAGTTGGACTACAAAAGCTGTTCCTTGTCATCCTGTAGTTTCAAGAAGCTGCTTACCAAGCCAAAGAGAAGCCCAAGTGCAAATATTTTTGGTGATTTTATTTCCATATTCTTCTCTTTGGCAGTTATCTAACACTATCCTGAATGCATGGTTGGTGTGCCATTTCATTTGATGGTTCTTCCTTCAGTCTCATATTAACTGTCTAGCAGAAGTATGCCAGCCCTTCAAGGGGTCTAGTGTGAACAGTAACGGAAATTATTGTAATATATGTGTAATAGTCCAGTTATACTGTTGCTACCAACCGGGTGGTTTAAGTTCTCTGTAAGGTTGAAGGCTGCTTTAGAAAGGGCCAAGATACAGTTGAAACAGGTGAGATCTTGAGGCGTAGCTGTTCCTGTTGCAAATTTATAGTTTGCTTTATCCCCCTGCAGCTTACAAAACCAGTTTCCAGGGATGTATTGAGTGCATGCATATTTCATAACTTTTTTGGGAAAAAGAATCCCATTCTGTGAGTATGAAGTAGGACACATTTGTTTTCTAAGGATTCTATAGACAGCTTTCTAGCTGTAACTAATAAGGAGGCTGTCTCTGTTTTAAATACCTGCTTTTAGGCTGATCACTGCTCACTGCTTTATTAAACAGCTAAAAGCCACAAAACAAGTTGGTGCCAGGATTACCCACTGGTGTCTGGCCCTGACGATGGAGCCGCTATGTGTGTACAGGGTAGGCACAGTTGCAGTGAATGCTGTCCATTTTCGTTGAAGGGAGAAGTGTGGTTTTGAGTGTACAGGGCACAATTTGTGGGGGAGGGATATGTTAATGGTGCAGTGGCAGTAGAAAGGGGGGGGCTGGTGAGACTGAAAGAAAAAAGGAAAATGCTTGGGGACATGAGCTCCAAATTAAGATGCTGGCGAACCTCAGGTTGAAGAAATATTTATTTTTTGCTTTACAGTAAATTCTTATTCCTTAGACTGCTACTGTTTAATTATTTGACTGTTTATTACTTTTTGACTCACTTTTCCATTTTATACTTAAACTTAGCCACGGTGGTGTAAATATTTGAGGTAGAATTAAGGGAAGCGCAGCTGTATAAATCCATTGCTTTTTTTTTTTCCACCTAGTTATCTAAGAAGGATTCTTTATTCTTTGCCCCAGTCTCTGAAAGTGCTATGAAGTAAACTCACACTAAGGTATATGTGTATTTCTTTTTGATTCCAGTTAAGCTTTGTCAAATGGATGCTGGAAAAAAGAATATTGCTTATTTTGAAAACAATACACAAATAAGTTTGTTTTTAAAATGTTTAGCCAAAACCAGGACTTTTTTTCAGAGGCGTCCTTATGACAGTTAAATATCAAGTTATCTATATCTGAAGAAAGAGCACAAAAGTGTTTTGTAAAGGAAGCAGCTCCCAAGACTTCTGGAGCCTCATAGTACGTGTCATAAAAGTGCAGAAATAGGTTTTGAGGTGCATGTGGCTCAACAAACTCATTTTTTGCCCCTTTGAACAGAACAAAAGTAATTTAAACTGGCCCAAGGTTCCCCCCAGGAGAACTTTCTCTTGTGTGGGGTTCTTGGCAGATTCACTGTCCCCTCTGCAAGTTCCTGTGCAGCTACTGGTGTGAGTTGTGCTACTCAGTTCCTGGCAGTAATGTTGGTTTTGGCCTCTCCTGAGGCCGGTTGTCGGTGGATTAGGGAGTTTGAGACAAGTCTGCCTGCTGCATCTGAGAGCAGTTTGAATAAAGTGAAGTACTGGGCCCTAGGAGCTTTTGATGAAAAAGGACTTCTGCTTGTATGTGTTCCTGTTAGCTTTATTTTACAGAAGAATATTAAAGATCAAATATGTTCCCAATGAGAGCAAGAAGAAATAACTTTATTATAGTGTGTGGAGGAACTATTAATGATAAAAGTTTTGGAGTGGACTTTGTGAGAAAACAAGTAGAGTTTCAACACAGGAACTTTAATCCCCCAGTGTTCATTTTGGACAGCAGAATTATTCTCCTACTGATGCAGCGCTTAACAGAGGCTTAGCTATTTTTTTCAGTGAGGAAAAGTATTCTGGCAGCCCAGAGAGACAGTGCTAAGCCAAGTTGGAAGGCTTAAATATAATTCCTTCTAAAAATTCAGATTAAGGAACAATTTATGAAGTGCTGCTTGAACCAACATGGCTTCAAGGAAAATCAGATTATGGCAATAATCTTCAATAACCAAAATGTAGACTTTTGATTTTTTTCATCTCAAACAGAAACTTAGTATTTCTTTTCACACTGAGGGTCTCTGTCCAGGAGTCCTATGGGAAATGCACTGTCCTTACAGTAGGTACATGGCAGGAAAACTTGTAGTGCAGCAAGTAGCCTAATAGGAGGAGTTCATGCTTGAAAAGGTCTAGGGACTGGAAAGGTCGGATTATAGCCCAGATCAAATACGAACTTTCATATAGGAGTGTGGAGGGGAGCTCAATGCAGTGGTGTTAACTGCAGCTAGAAGTTCTTAAGTTACAGGTTTTTAT